ATGGAGAAAGAAATGAAGATGGTGGATGAAGGGGAGGGGTGGAGAGGGGAATGGGGGAAGGAAAATTGAAAAGGGAGAAAACGACTCTAGGAGAAGTAGGGTCGAAGAAAGCTGCTTGCTTGCTTGCTTGCTGCTGCTGCTGCTGCTATTGCTGTTGCTGCTAATGCTGCATCGAGAGAGAAAAAGAGATAGAAAAAGAGTAGGAGAGAGAAAGATAAAGGCCGAATAGACCGAAAGCCCTGGCTGGTAGCTTCAAACGAAAACTCTGGCGCGTCCAACGAGTTTGTATCGAGCGTAGGAGGTAAAAGCAAGCGCGACGCTGCGGAAGGTTGAAAAGAGAAAAAAACAGAGAGAGAGAGAGAGAGAGAGAGAAAAGAGAACGAGGTAGAAAAAGAGAGAGAGAGAAAGAGAGAGAGAGAGAAGGCGTTCCTCTCTCGCGTAGCACCACGATGCTGCGTTCTGCAGAAACGAAGAACTGGAATAGAAGAGGATGAGGATGAAGAGGAACGGGAGGGCTGGGGGAGAGGGGGAGGGAAACAGGGAGAGTGAGCACAAGCTACGAGGATGAGGCAGAGTACCAACGGAGGAAGAGAAGGATGAGAAGGAGGGTTGAGAGAGAGAGAAAGAGAGAGATGGAAGGAGAGAGGGTATATAGAGGTGAAAGAGGGGAAGAGGAGGAGGGGAAACTGCCGCAGACCGAGGCCATGGTAGGCGAGGTGAGGTGGCAATCAATAAATATACAGAACCGGCGGAGAGCTTGGTAGGTAGGTAGAGAGAGAGAGAGAAAGCGAGCGACTGAGCGAGCGGCTGTGCGAGTGAGTGAGTGTGCAATAGAGAGAGAGAAAGAGAGAGAGAGAGAATCCGTCCGACAACCACCGGTCCGTCCGTTCCGTTCGTTCTTGCGTCCCCAAAGCTTTTCTCTCTCTCGCTCACTTTCTCACTCTTTCTCTCGTACAAACCTGACCCAAGTGTACGAGAGAAGGAAAGAGAGAAAGAACGATAACGCCCTGTAAAGAGAAGGATAGAAATGAACGAAGAGAGGAAATGGAGGGAGGAAGAGGAGGAGGGTGGAAGGATCAGAAAAGGCTCTGCTCCGCTTTGCTCTGCTCTCTCTGCTCTGTCAAAGAGAGAGAGAAAGAGAGAAAAAGAGAATATAGGATGGTGGTAGTATTAGTAATAGTAGTAGTAGTAGTAGTAGTAGTAGTAATAGTAATAGTAGTCGTAGTGGTGGCGTTGGTTGTAGTAGTGGAAGAAGGTTGACGAGAAAAGGGAGGGGAAGTGAAAAAGGGAGGGTAGGTCGGAGGTGAAGCAACGAAATAAACGAAATCCCATCGCGCACGATGGAACAGCATTCGAGAGACCTGTGCCAACGGGGACGCGAGATAAAGAGAGAAAATGCAAGAAAGAGAAAGAAAGCAAAAGAGAGAGAAAGAGAGAGAGAGACTGGCCCGATGCCGGCTCGAGTAGTAGCGTTGGGAATCAATCGTTCTCGAAATGTTCTCTCGAATGAGATAGGAAGGGATGATGGTTGTAGGCGGAAGAGGAGGAAGCGGTGGAAAGGGAGGAGTGCATAGGAGAAGTCAACGGAACAGTCCAGTCCGCAGAAATGTCTTTAGGAATAATCCTGGTAGGATCGCCAAGACTTTTGGAACGAGTCCTTCCTAAAACGTTCGTGGATTTCTCCAATTGCGTTCCGTTTCTAAAGGGGAACATTTTAGGAAAGGGGGTAGGAGTGAGGATGGAGGACTTAGGGTGTTTCCGCCTATTCTATATTGTTCGCATTGCATACGATATCGCACAGGACGTTTTGGTTATCGTTATATCGTTATAGCATCGATGTTTCGCATTTAGATGAATGAAATACCAAAAGCTACAACATAAGTGTTTTGCCTATTCTGCAATATAGGATGCATGGATAAATGAATAGATGGATGGATGGACGGATTATTATGATTATTATTACTGTAGGATTTGATATTTTTCGTTGAGATTAAATTACAAAGGTAGTAGGAATTACGTGATAGTATTACGAATAGTATTAGAATAAAGTATAGATATCTAATCAATATATATATTATATATAAATGTACTTATGAGATGAGTTTATTCTCATAATATTATTATAATCTTTGTTTTATATTATACGGTACATGTATATATTGAGTTACGAAATAAATTGATGTCATCTACTACTGGGTGTACGGTCGTGCACTGGTTTTCACACTCTTTCTCACTCTGCACGAAAAAGGACTACTATCCTTTTCCACTTTCACGTTGTAAGGACGGAAGGAATTGATCGAAGAAAAAACACACCCTAATTATGTTTAATCGAAGATATGTTTAAATATTTGTACAGCAGATCAGCGTGGTAATCTCGGATCCTGTATTACTATCTGCCCTAATTTTCTTACTTTCTATTGATAGTAACCACTGATTTATACTAACTAGTCACTGAAGTATTTAATGCTTTGTACGTAATTGATAATACGCGGATCAACTAAATATAAATCGAACTAACTTTACTGAAATTACCGGATCAACTGGATTAATTGAGTTGCAATGGTCTTTCCCTGTTATTTATAATACTTTTCCTACCTAAGGCTACCGTTGGGTCTTTAGGGTGGAAGTAGCTTACGAAAGATACCCCATTATAAACTGAGTAAATATAATGAATGCTTCTTTGGGCCCAAAAAGTACTCCATTGTAAAATGAGTAAATATAATAAATTTTGTCTGTGAGAACTTCGATATCTTTGGGCCCATTTGTTACTCAAATATCCCTATTATCATTGGCCGACCCGATAAGGAAATTTCTATCGGACCCAAATTTCTCCGGATGTTTCAACAAAGGACGTAAAACAAACCCAATAAGGCTATTTCTATCGTAACCTAATATTTTTTGGATATTCCAACAAAAGGACGGAACATTAACGGGATAGTATATTTTTTTAATTGATGAGAATAGTGGAGAGGAGGAGTAGCATACGAAGAAGAATTCTAAAATTCGCATGGATAAAAGAAGAATTGATATGTAGGCGTTAAGTATATATATATACTTAATATATATATACACTGCGTGTACTTAAATACTTACTTAGCGATGAGAAAGTGATAAATCGAAGTGGAGAATTAATAAAAAAAAAGCGTGAAATGCGTTGGTGTGTTTCGAGTATTAGAGATAGTGAAAGAGTAAGTGAGTAAGTGAATGACTGAGTAACTGAGTGAATTAGAGAGAGAGAGGGAGGGAGAGAGAGAGAGAGAGAGAGAGAACGAGTGAGTGAGTGAGATAGATAGAAAGATAGATAGAAATAACTCGTACAACCATACGAGAGAGTCGAGGTATTAGACAAAAAGAAAGAAAAGAAAAATAAAAAAGAGAAAGAGAGAGAGAGGATAAAGAAGAGAATGATTAATGAAGCATGCGACTTTATCGGCGACTAAAACAGATCGTAAAGACGATAATTCTTGACCCACACTTCAACAACCTAGGCTTATACATATCTATACGCGGAATTATTAATTATTATTCCCAACAATCCCTTCTACTCACGTTGATGATCATCAATTTGTCACATTTGTCTTGTACAAACTCGCACTTTGAGTTCAAGCAACTTAAAGAAAAATTATTTTATTCTACATACGCGTAAAAAAATATAAATGAAAAAAAAAAGAGAATCGATCGTACAAATAATATCAAACAAATTTTATATATTCGTTGTTGTTGCTTTTCTTTCGTTTGAATAAAAAATTACAAAAAGATTAAATAAAATAACTCTGTAAAGAGTAATACTTTGGAACGATTAATTTATTTTTAAAACAATTTCGTATGTTCTTTTCCATCCTTGAGGGAATTAAAAAGGAAAAAAAAATATAAAGAAAGTGAAGAAAAAAATGACTCGACGAGTTTAATTTTGTTCAATGATATAAAAAAAAAAAAAAATAGCAAAGAGAAAAGAGATGAAAGAAAAAATAGGAACAAGGACGGGGAAAGGGAGGGAGAGGGAATATATAGAAAAGTCGAGTATCGTCGAGCGTACAATTTAAATATTGCAAGTACGGGTCTCAATGGAATTTGCATTGATTTGCGAGGAGGACACACACGAGAAGGTTTTCCAATTTTATCGGATCGATTAATTAAGCGTCGCATTCGAGGTAAACGAGAGAGATAGCAAGAGAAAGGAGGGGCAGAGGTAGGGGTAGGGGGAGGGGGATGGTAGAAAGAGTAAAATAGTATGTGAATCTCCACCCAAACTTCGATTTCGACGATCTCTTTCGACTATTCGAGTCGAAGGATATCGATCTTGCAATTCATCGACGAATCTATCTGTCTATCCATCTATCCTGTTCTATATGTGTATGACGACTATGTATGTAACGTATCATTGTATATATGGTGTATATGCAGTATGTAAATACATATTTTGTGAAAGGAGACGCGATGATGGCCGTCGTTGGTCAATCCTGCGGCCGAACGCTGCTATGCACCTAGGTTCGATAGTCGAACGTTCTAGTTTCGATCAAAACCTTCATTATGCGAACGTTTATTAAACCGCTAATTACAGATATACCGATCAGGTAACCGATGATAGTTGTCAAATACACGGACAACTAATATACATTTAGAAATACTTATGTTTATATAAAAGTATATATGTTAAATATATAATCTAATATCAATAGGGGTTGTAAGAAATATATACGTATATATATAATGGTAATTTTGTTATACTTTCGTTATTATTATTATTACTCGTTAAACTAATCTAATTTATTTTATTTATTATTTACAAAAAGATATTCATTTTGTTTTTTTGTTTATTCGAAATATAACAAAACGGTATGAACATTCGTGATAAAATATTTTATTTGATTTTATTTTATTCCATTAATGTTTTAAATGTAGATTATACTTATTATTATTATTGGTATTATAACGTAAGTTATATTATTAAATTATAAATCGTGTTATATAGTCCAAGTAAGATAGAAGGTACAACTTACCACCAAAAAGTGCAGTGGGATCGAGCAGCGGATTGGCCTGGTCCGCCTGGAGCTTCTCGGAGGTGGAGGTGGAGCCCGACGTTGCCGTTGCCGCCGCTTCACCTCCGCCACCTCCGCCTGATGCGGAGTTCTCCTTCTCCATGCCAGTCCCCTGGACAAAATAAAAAAATCAAATTCTTAAAATATCCATTATTATTATTCCTTTCTTTTAAATCCTTACACTTGTACGTAAACTTTACGTATTTTTTATTTTGTTGGTTAATAAAATTTTCACCTGACAATATTCGTAGATTTTATAAAAAATAAAAGAAATAGAAATGACAAATAAAATAAATTACTGATTATTTAAACTAATATCGTTATGGGTTAAATTTCGTACTCATCTATTTGTAATTAATATACTTATATTTCTATTTTTATCAAGATGAGTATTTTATTTAATATAATAATAATTAGAATTAATGAATAATATTATGGAATGAGAAAATAGTGTTACAAATAATTTGCATAATTGTTATGGCATTTTACCTTTTTTTCTTTTTTTATTTTTTTCTATGAATCATCGATATTAAAAGTGAACTCGTTAAACTAGTTCAAAAACGAGATGTTAATGAATGTTGCATATGTTTTGTTGAATGACTATATATTTTTATTATATATATATATATATATATATA